ATAGCAGCAAAATATAGATATACATACATGTAAACACAACACAACACACACACACACACACACACACACACACACACACACACCAAAATGTATAGAATACAATGAAGATGATCCCAAGAGGGAAGTTTGTAGTTTTAAGTGCCTACATTACAAAATCAGAGAAATTCAAATATACAATGTAACAATAAATCTCAAGGATTTGGAAAAACAAGAACAAACCAAACCTCAAACAGCAGACAGGAAGAAATAATTAGCAGTAGTGCTAACATTAATAAAAGAAAAACAAACAATGTTGCAAACCAAATTCAAGAACATATAAAAAAGATAATTCACCTTGATCAAGTATGATTTATTACAGAGATTCAGGAATGGTTCAATAAATGTTATAAATTATATAAAAGGAGTTGAGGACAGAAACTACAAGGTCACCTTGATAAAGGCAGAAAAGACTTTTGTCAAAATTCAGCATCCTTTCATGTTAAAAGCTTTGCAGAAATTTGAAATGGAAATGACATATCTAACACAATACAGGGTTTATATAAGATATACCCATAGATAACATTGTATTCAAAGTGAGAAAGGTGCAAAGCTTTTCCACTAGCAATAGGAACAAGTAAGCATGTCTATTTAATCCACTTTTATTTTGCATAGTACTAGAAATATTAGCTAAAACAATTTTACAAGAGAATGAAATAAAAGGGATACAAATAGGAAAGGAAGAAGCCAAGGAATGCAAATAGAGACTAAAGATTCTACCAGAAAACATTTAGAATTGATAAACACTCATCAAATTGGCGGGATACAAAAATAACACACAATAGTCATTATTTTTCCTATATATCAAAGACAAGTAAACTAAAAAAGAAATTGTGGGAATAATCTCACTCACAATATCCTAAATAAACCAAGGAATAAACTAGGGATGTGAAAGTCTTCTATAATGAAAACTTTATTTTTCCCCTGATTTTTTTGAGACAGGGTTTCTCTATGTACCATCCCTGGATGTCCTGGAACTGTCACTGTAAATCAGCATGGCCTCAAACTCACAGAGATCTGCCTGCCTCTGCCTCCCAAGTTCTGGGATTAAAGGTGTGTGTCACCACTGCTTGGCTACATTTTTTAAGATTACATTTTATTTATTCATATGTGTCTGTGTATGTACAAGCCTGTGTAATATAGGTGAGCATGCCACGGTTTGTGTGTGGTGGCCAGAGCTTAATTTGTGGAAGTCGGTGCTTTCCTCCAACATGTGGTCCCAGTGATTAAACTAATGCCACCATGATTAGCAGGAGGCACCTTTACCCACTAAGCCACCTCACTGGCCCCATAATGGAAACTTTAAAACACTTAAGAAAGGAATTGACAAGGACACTAGGACAGTGGTTCTCAACATGTGGGCCGGAACCCTTTGGGATCAAAAGACCCTTTCACAGGGGTCATATATCAGATATTTGCGTTATGGTGCATAACAGTAGCAAAATTGCAGTTATGAAATAAGAACAAAAATAATTTTATGGTTGGGGGCTGGGAGGCTTGCCACAACATGAGGAACTGTATTAAAGGGTCAGAGTGTTAGGAAGGTTGAGAACCACTGATCTAAAAAATGGATAGGCTTCCTGTGCTCATGAATTAGAAGAGCCAATGTTGTAAAAATGGTCATCTACCCAAAAGCAACCTACAGAAACTTGCACACATGTTCATTGCTGTTTTATTTACAGTAGCTAGAAAATGCAATGAAACTAGATATCTATTAACTGATGAGTGGATAATGAAAATGTGGTACATATACATAATGGAATTTTATTCAGCTACAAAGAAAAAGGAAATGAGTAGGAAAATGGATGGAACTGGAAAGTATTATACTAAGTGAAATAATCCCAGAGAGACAAATGCTGCATGTTATCTCTTGTATATGAATCTTAGCTTGGAATTGTTAAATTTATGTGCTTAATCTGGATATCTGTAGAACTTAGAAAGCTGAAAAGGGCCTATGAGAGGGAGAGGGAAAGAGTAGAGGATATATGATCTAAAGGCAGAAGGGAGAATACTGGGGTTAAAGGCATAAGCAGGGATGGTACCAGAGGGACAGGAGACAGCAGTGAGTTTGTGTGGGTTAACTGAAACTAAGGATATGCAAAAAGCTCCTATGGAAGCCCAATACTTTGTAGGCTAATTAAAAAATATAGTAATTAAAAAAAGGAGCTTGAACACAGGTGCCCTGCATGGTCAGCAATGCTTCCATAGAAGACATTTATTAAATGAAAATCTCAGTGCCAGTTGTAGGATAATTCCTTATGAGTTATTGGATAAGGAGGCTCCAAATGTTCCCCAAACAGTAAAGGCTACTGATATTGCTCTTGGCTGCCCACCAGAATTAAGTGGGAAGACAAACACTTTGGTTATGGGATATAGAGAAATCAAGCTGGAACTGACTTAAAAACTTCCTCCATGCTGGTCAGTGTTCTAGTGTTGGAAGGTACTATTCACACAGCTGAGAAAAGCCATCTATGCTGTTTATTAGTGGAAAACCCTGCATGCTACAATGTTGACCTGCTGGTATGACATGTCCACTGGTGAAACAGTAACTTGAAGTTTATGAGGTAACCAACCACTTGGGGAATAGATTTGAGGCCTGTTCCATAGGAGTCAATTTATGCCTGGTATTGTAAACCTGGTCAAAAGCTCATGGTTAAGGGCGATCAAAGGCCCTAGAGGGACCCTACTACTGTTGTCTTGATAAAGGGACATGTTAAACTGGCTTCTAAATATTTATGCACAGATTAGTGCTGTCTCAATCTTGTCTCGAGAAGCATTTCTCTGCAGTGGTCAGCAGAAGAAGCAAAGACTCCTAACTGGTCAAAGTACTGAAAATAAGTCACTGTTTAGTTCTTAGATCTAAGTGTGACATTTGTATTGACCATATGGCCAAGACTCAGTAAACACTACAGAAGAGGTAGAAAGAATCTAAGAGACAGAGGATGGTAATGAATACTGCGAAATACTGTCTTCTGACATTTTATGCATGAACAGGCCATTGTATGCATGAACTCACTGTAGTGACCTGCACAAGACCTGCACAGGATCAAGCCAACACTATCAATCAATAGGGTACTTATTGTGTTATTAAAGAAGAAGGGGAGGACATGAAGTGGGGAGGATATGTGATGGTGCCTGGGGGAATTGGGAGAGGGGATAAGAGGACAGATAAGCTAAAGATACACTGTTTACATGTGTCTTAGTTAGGGTTTCTATTGATGTGAAGAGACCACAGAAAATCTTATAAAGGAAAACATTTCATTGGGGCTGGCTTACAGTTCAGAGGTTTAATTCATTGTCATCATGGTGGGAAGCATGTTGGCATGCAGGCATACATGGTGCTGAAGAAGTTGCTGAGAGTTCTACATCCAGACCCAAAGGCAGCAAGAAGAGATTGCCACTCCTGGCCTGGCTTCAATATCTGAGACCTCAAAGCCTGCCACCTAGTGACACACCTCCAACAAAGCAACACCTATTCCAAAAAGGCTACACCTCCTAATAGTGCCATCCCTATGCATTCAAGCACTTAAGTTTATGGGGGCCTTTCCTGTTCAAACCACCACATTCCACCCCCTGCCCCCAAAAGCTTGTTGCTATAATACAGTGCAGAAATGCATTCAGTCCAACTGCAAAAGTCCCCATATCAGTCTCAAACTTGTTTAAAAGCCCAAAGTTCAAAGTCTCTTCTGAGATTCACGCAATCTTTTAACTGTAAAATCAAAATTAAAAAGCAGATCACATATTTACAACATACAATGGTACAGGATTTATATCATTATTTCACAAGGGAGAATATGAGGAAATATTGAACCAAAGCAAGACCAAAAACCAGCTGGGCATTTTTTATTTTTATTTTTTATTTTTTTTTGAGACAGGGTTTCTCTGTGGCTTTGGAGGCTGTCCTGGAACTAGCTCTTGTAGACCAGGCTGGCCTCAAACTCACAGAGATCCACCTGCCTCTGCCTCCCGAGTGCTGGGATTAAAGGCGTGCACCACCAACGCCCGGCTCATCTGGGCCTTATTACAAAGCATCCAAGCTGGATTTTTCATTCACAAAAAAGTCTCTCAGCATATTTTACTTTGAACACTGTTCTTGAAAGCAACTGCATTTTGAATTGCAATGTCAGTTTCCAAGTGAAGGACTTCGTCATGATGCAACAAGTTATTTTTAATAGATTTCTCTTACACCAGATGCTGTGTGTGTGTGGTGGGGGGAGATCTGAGAAATAAAATATAGTACACCTCACCTGGAAACCTTGTCCTGTGGGCCCGCAGTCATAGCTGAGTTCAAACAGAATTTTGACTCAACGAAGTAGCAGAAAAAAGTTTAGAGAGGCTCTAACGTCTCCATCTCCATTTAGCGGTGAGATGATCCTAGGCATGCACTGCCTTTCTCTGGTTTTTCATCTGGTAGGTGAACTATCTAGTGCCTAACCCACCACATTGTGAGAACTGAATGAGGTAGTCACAGTGGCTTTCAGCCCAGGTGCAGTTTTGGGTCTTTATAACAAAGGCAGGCTCTCATTTTCTGTTGTTCATGATGGGGGGGGGGTCTCTTTCCATTACCATTTAGGTTATTTTCAACGTTTTAAAACCTTTGCTCTTTGAGTAACTGTGGGAAAAATTCTTAAACATCCACACTCACAATTTTCTCAACTTTTGACACCGGGAATGACTCATTAAGAAAGAAAGTCTCTGTTGAGTCCAGTTTTGGAAGAGTTGTGGCTAAAGGGGGAGCACAGTTCAGAGGCAGAAACTCTGGGCGTGGAAGTTGGCTGAAGCAAGGACGTGAACACTGGGAGGGAACTCAGCTGGAATGCTGACGACACGCGGTCAGGTGTCATGGATTGTCTGAGCTCCCCTGTCCCTAAAGTGCCATACTGAAGCGACAATGGAAGCAGAAGGACATGTTCTCGCACACAGTTAAGTATATACTGTCGGCGAGTTTTAAACTGAAAGCTTACCTTCCAGAAAAGGGAGATCTGTTGTCTGTTACAGCTGATGTTCTGTTTCATGTACCAGATGTCTAATGTCCCAACAGGCTCTGATGAGAGGGAGGGGTGAAAAGCATATTTTCACATAAATATGCATATATACAAAGTAGAAAACCTTTGGAAGTCAATAAATAATTCTGGAAATAGGATTATAGGATAATTTCAATTTTCACTGTAATCTAATATTTTTTGCTTTCTTTTACTTAAAAGCAAACATGTATGCACAAAAGTAAAAAAAAGATTGATAATTTGAAAAGAAAAAAATTAAAAATATTAAGGAAATTTATTCCTAACTTAGCTTTAAACTGTATTAACTTATATTTTTTTTGTACATAGGTATTTAAGTTAAAAACTCAGATATGTGTGATTATTTCTTTTTTATTGGATTTTATGCAGGAAAATAAGGACAAAAAGAAAACCAAGGTATTAGAACATATAGCACAAGTACACATGGCAAGGATTATCTTTACCCCAGTCCTAAACTTAGACTGAAGTGTGGTTATTTGGTGTTAACTACTTGGAGCAAAGACACATCTCATTTACTTAACAATCACAATGCTGAGGAGGGTATCTAGGATGTAGTTAGTGTGGTTCAGTGATGAGTGCACAGGCCAGGCAATGCTATTCATTTGATGTTCAAACACAAGCTGAACAAATAGAAGAAATAAGCATCAAACTACGAGACAATGGTTAGAAAGGCAAACACATTTGAAAAAGAGAATAGTCAACCCCATGCTGAGAGAGAGAGAGAGAAAGAGAGAGAGAGAGAGACAGAGACAGAGACAGAGAGAGACAGAGAGGGAAGGAGGGGGAGGGAGAGGGAGGGAGAGGGAAAGGAAAGGAGTGTGAGAGGGAGAGGGAGAGGGAGAGGGAGAGGGAGAGGGAGAGGGTTCTCTACTACTTGATAGATTTGCTTTTAGCCAGGAGTGCAGTCAATCATTACAAACAACCACTGGAGTCAACTGCCATTGCTCCAACCCAACTTCCTTCACAGGGAAACTGGCAGTGTGTTTGAGGTGAGGCTGCACTGGGATTCCTTTTTTTTTTTTTTTTTTTTTTTTTGCTGGGGTTCCTTTTTGAATAATGCTCTTCTCAGCCAGAACAAAATTTCTAGAACAGTAACACCTACTACCTGGATAACAAAAGCTAAACAGTCAGGGAGAGACAAGCAATGGGGAAAGGGAGGGCAAGCCAGGGCAGGCCTGTTTTAGTAACATCTCAAGGGCTTACTGGGCTCTTCTCAGCACCACCTCTTCTCCTCCATGTCCTGCTCGGACTGTAGATTCAGTGCAAGGGTTACCAAGGAACTAATCTATCTACTACAGAACCCTGCTATGTGATCTTTAACAAATACGCCTTTTAGCAGGTTTCCTCATCTGTCAAATGAAGTTGGCAGCTCTATATCATGGAGGCTGTTTTGAAAATTTAGATGAAGAGTGTGGCCACAGGGTAAACTGCTAGTAAATTTAGCTTGCCATTTTTCTCATTTGAAAACTGGGCTGCTGAGCGCTTAAGAAACTTAGAATTAATAGTTATGGAAGTCAGGTTCTGAGCATGGGTCTATTTGATCCTATAACCTTTGCAATGTGACTTGGTTCAGAAAAAAAACAAAAAACAAAAAACTGTGACTTCTCTATAAAACCCACATTCCCCATCAGGTGGATCTTTTCTGGGAGTCTCTCTCTCTCTCTCTCTCTCTCTCTCTCTCTCTCTCTCTCTCTCCTACTTTTTTTCCACCTAAAGCATTTTTTCTTCCTTCTCTCTTCCACTGAGGGTAAACTGCCCTTTTGGCAAGGGCAACAAGATGAGAAAAGCTTCCAAGAAGCAACCGGAAATGCTTTCAGTTCTGTGAGCAGTGACACAGGAACAGAGCCTGGGACTTTGTATCTGATAGTCCATGTACTCCATGTACAAAGTGTTAAAAAGTACAGGCTGCTGACACTAACCACTCTGAAGAGCAAGGTAAAGTTTAGACACTGCTGTGTACATGGCCTCATTGAGCCCTCCTCTGATATAGGAGGCTCACATGGTAACATCTACTGTACAGCTGTGGACAAGGAGGTTGGCAAAGACAAGATGGATAAAAGACAGAGCTGATAAACGGACAGCTGAGACCAACTCTTGCTATCTCCAAAAAGTTTGCTTTTCCCATTGTAGTTTTCTATATTGAACAAAGATCTATATTGGACATTCCACAAATTACATAGTCCAGGAATTGACCACGTAATTAGGATTGGCTGCATTCAGTATCAAATCAGTTGACTTGCTCACAGCAATAATGCTTTCAGCTAATTACATATTAACAACAAATTAAAGGCATTGCTCACTAGACTGCTTGTTAAAGATCCAGTACTTAACAGACTATTACAGACTAGGAATCAAATTCTGCACTTATGCTCCTTTTACAAACTCCAGAACAAATGCAAGTGAAGTTTTGGTGGTGCTCTCCTTCTAAGCAGGCCTAAGACTGCCTTGCCTGGATCCTTAGACCTTTCTCATTCTCTTGCAAATACACTGCCTTGTGTCTGACGCCCAAGGAAATCCAAGGAATTTCTGAATACCATATACTTCTCAACTACTGTCCCAATCTCTGTCTTTCACACAAAGTTCATCACATTTCTTAGCATCCCAGGTCAAGAGGTTGTTTCTTTTCTATTTTTCTGATGCAAGCATATTCCTGGAGACATGATCATATGTGAGAAAGTGGTGAGGGAACAAAGTTTTCTAGGTCTCTCATGGTGATTTATCTACCCTACTATGAAGGAATTAGAGTAATGATGGGAAAAGTGGTTGTAGGTAATACAGAGAACGCAACTTTCATAAAGCTCAGACAAGGAAAGCTAGATGTTTGTAGAGACACATGGATAAGAAGTACACAGCTCAGGACAGTGCTATCAGTGTGAAGACATGACAGGAATAAGAACATATTGGTAATGTGACAGAATTTAAGACAAGCATTGCATTTGGAAGTGCTAATGTTGTTCTACTTGTAATAAGATTACAGATGAGAATGGGAAGACAGCACAGAGACCAACAAAAAAACCAAGATTATGAGATTTCTGAAGACTCAAGCACATTACGAGTTTCAAGGGGGCAATTGTCCCTTTCCTCACTGCAAGACCTTGAAGGCTGTAAATCCCAGACAAAGTACCTGCTGTTAACCAAAACTCTAGAATGGATGCTTGAACAGCACACATCTATTTGTATGCTTCTAGAGGCTGGGAAGTGAAGATCAAGGTGCTGTCAGATCTGATGCCTAGTGAGATCCTGCTTGGTGTGGCTTCAATCTTGCTGAATCCTCACATAGGAAGAGGAAGTGCTTTCCTTTACTTATGATGGCTTCATACTCATAACCCAATTATTGGCAAAAGTCTCACCTCCCAATTGTATCCCATTAGGGATCAGGGCTTCATTATATGAGTTTTGTGGGAACATGAACTTCAGTTTTTAGCAGGAAAGAAATGTAAAAAGCCTCCCAGATTCCTCCTGGGTGTTAAGCTCCCCCAAGAATTTTGATGTATCCTTTCAAGATAAATTGGAACTCCTGGCATCTGGTCTGAAGTTCTGACTGGTTGTTGTTACGCCCCAGCACAGGTTATAGCTACTGATGCAAACACATTTGTTGTAAGCCATGCTTTCTATTTCAAGGGAAAGAACTTTCCAGTACTGGAGTGGCCACCATGTATCAAATAACTGAGCACAGGCATTTTTTCCTCAGGGATAGGGACAACCTTAGGGAAGACTGAAGAAGGGGCAAAGGTCGGACCACTGGCTAGATCAAAAATGACTAATGAAATATTTGCATGGGAGTCCTTTTAGTTGCATACAGAGAGCTTCATTCTCATTTTCTCCAGCCTTAGGCAAAGAGATAGATCTCTGATCTTATTCTAAAGGTTGACAACCATGGCTTGTGGCCCAATTTCAGCCTGATTCCCATTTTTGTATAGTTGAAAGCAATAGTAGTTGCTTGGCATTTTAAAATGGTTATAACATCAGAAACATCATTTTTAGTAACACATTGAAATTATGTAAAATTCAAATGTTGGTACTCACATATGGAGTTTTTTGGAACCCAGTCATGTCTCTGGCTGGTGACAATGGCTGCTTAGACACTTCAAGAACAACTTTTAGTAACTGCAGAGACTAGATGGTCTACAAAGCTACAAGTATTAACTTCCTGGATCTGCAGATAAACTGCTAACTCCCGAGCTTCACTGTGTTGGCTTGTTTTCTAAGATGTTAGAGTAACTCTAGTATTTATTTGTTCACATCTACATTAGTGGTGACAATAGGTTAGTATAATATATGAATGAACAAATGAATGAATCTCTCTCTCAGGTGTCTTTCATTCATCTGTGCTGTCTCCATAACCTGAGGCACTTCTTTGACACTCTGGTGGGAAGATCAGCATGCCATGCCTCCTTAATTAGTTCTCCAAATTAACTAAGATATCACTCAAACCTGTAAACAGAGAGTCACATACATAAAAGAAGGCCTATTCATCAAAGTGGAGCCTTTTGATAGGTGTTACAGGGTTGAATGTGCACAGGCCTGGATACTTTTAAACTCAAATTCATGAGTGTTTTCACACTAGAAAGAAAATATGGCTTCGAGTCCCCAGAGTCAAGACTGCTTTTGATGGATGCTGAATTAGAGACTGTTTCTCAAAAAGTGACATGGTTTCCTTTCTCCTCCCCCTCCTTAGTGGTCATTTCTCTGAAGATCATGACAGGAATCAAATTTAACACCAAAGGAAGGGCCCACGTGCAGTGAAGAGAGCCTTCACTCAGCTGGAACGACACAAATAGCCACACCTGGACCACCAGGGGACACCATGCTCCTCCCAGGTTTTTGAAACTGAGGCCACAGAAAAAGAGTCCTATCATAAATCATTCACAGTTTCAGAGACTAAAGCAAGTTACGTATGACTAGACACTTAAAAGGGTTAAAAGGAAGAAGTGTTAAAAAAATTTCACACGTTTAGGTTTACATCAGTTAGTGTTTCAAAAAGAAACTGATGACAGAAAGGAGTGGTGAGGGGTGTAAACCACAGAGCTTAAAGTAAGAGCAGGAGTACAGGACAACCCACAGAAAGATCAAACAAGAGAAGCAAGATGCAGACACTGAAAGGAAGTGTACGGGTGAGGTAAGCCATGCCTCAGGGCTCTGAGCCTGCTCTGCTCTGAACACACCAGCTCCACAGTGACTGGTGGCCTATTTATAGCACATTAGAGTCACTAGCTTGCCTTGGAGGAGTTTGAATTTATCAGGTATTTGCTAAAAAACATAAGAAAAGAAAATCCTTTCCAATTCATCTAAGTAAGTCATTAATCTGTGTATAAATGACAAGGATCCATAAATCTTGAGTTTCCGCGGTTTACAGCTCAGCCCCATGAGGTCATAATGTAGCTTACAGACGTCTAGACACATATACTATCTTGGATTTGAATAGTTCTTTACATAATTTGGACATTAGTCCTCTAGTTGGATGTATGCTTGGTAAAGATTACTTCATACCAGGCAGTGGTGGTGCATGCCTTTAATCCGAGCACTCAGGAGGCCCAGGCAGGCAGATCTCTGAGTTTGAGGCCAGCCTAGTCTACAGAGTGAGTTCCAGGACAACCTCCAAAATAATACAGAGAAATCCTGTTTCAAACAACAACAACAACAACAAAAACCCCCAAAAACCAAAAACCAAAAACAAAACAACAAACAAACCCCAACCCCCCCAAACAAACCAAAAAACAAAACAAAATAAAAAACAAACAAAAACAAGCCAACTATTAGGTGCTCAAAGATGGCAGCCCAATCAAAAGGGTGTTTCTCATATATACATATGCCCACCTTTGCAAATAACCACTTAGGTGCTCACATCAGGATTAGAAAAACTCCAGCTGGATATGGAGTGCACATTTTTAATCCCAGCACTAGGGAAGCAGAAGCAGGCAGATCTCTGTGAATTCAAGGCTACCCAGGTCTACATAGTGAGTTCCAGGGCAGCAAGTTAGAATTTGTTTCACAAAACCAAACTCTAGATAGTAATAAGCAATTGATTATATTTCTGTATTTTTCCTTTGATGTGAATTTACATAAAGTAACAGAGCTCCAGACCTGAGTAGGTTCCTAACCTTAACTGACCCCATGATGGAAATACCATTCAGACTGTAAAACTCAGCACGTAGACTGCACCACCTGCCAAAACTAAAACAAAGGCTTAATTCATCAAAGTCCATAGTTTTGGGAAAATTTCAAAATATCCTAATCTTGCTTTTTGGCTTCTGCAGCTCTGCTTCTGGCTATCTGTTCTTGTTAACTGAACTATGTCAACCCAGAACTACAGAATCGCTACACTGCGATTCTGAATATCCAGTATAGTCAGTGGCCAGCTAATAAATAGTTTCTGTTGGCTTAAAGCCATGTCCAGTCTTCTCTGGCAAATACAACAGTATGAAAAGTTCTATACTATGCCACTAACGAGTGCTTAAAAACAACAAACAAACAAACAAACCAAAATCAGGATTCTTGTGAATTCAAAGGGTTATTGGGAAGTGTTTTCTAGGCACAGCAGGACAGTGGCTCATTTGAGTTCACAGCAAGTTGAGACAGTGTGAATAAGAGCTGCACAAGCTCAAGCCAGACAAAATTCCAGCATGGACAGCGGAGGTGAACATAAAGTTCCTCTTCCTGCTGAGGAGCTATGGGCAATTGATGACTTCTGGGAAAGGGAGAGTCAGTTTTCTTTAAAGGTGTGTGGCTCTTAGTGGGTTGACTACCTTCAGTGATAGCCACACATCCTAGCATAAATGGGTAGCACAAATTGAACTTTATGGGTTTTTAAAACAGAACAAACAAACAACAGGGAAAAAAAGAAGACATACTTGTGTGGGTTAGTTATCGATCTGGTAGGATTTGGGGGAGAGAGTGAATATTATCAAAATAGATTACACAAAGCTCATAAAAAAACTAATAAAAATAGGGAACAATTTGCTAATATGATAGAAAAATTAAATGAATTTGCTTCTATAAAATATTTGCTTAAATTGCAATGAAATTGACTTCTCAATAATTATCGAAAGAAAAAGCCCATTCATTAAAGACTTGAACTTAATATGTTGCTCCTAACCCTGGTAGAGCAGGATAACGTCCAAGGCTTGAAGAAGTGCAATGCAACATTTGAGGAAAGAGAATTGATGGACATTACATTTTATATTAGATACTGATTTCAGAAATTTGTTCACACTTTTAGTATGGTTTATAGTTTCTAAATTATCGTTATAATTTTCAAGGAACCAAAGTGATAAAATATATCGAAGAAATGAAGTTAATTACTGGCTACAGTTTTGGGGAATAACAAACAGGTACTGAGATAGTAAGAGAAATAAGAACACATTTAACTGGACGGTATTCAAGCAGTAGTTTGACTGATGGGCTACAGGGGCAGAGCGGCCTCATGCAAAAGCTTCTTAGCATCATAAACTTACCTTCCCTGGCAGTTTCTGTACCGCATGCTCTGAAAGCATCTATTCCAGGGAAGACTTTGCCTCCCTTTCCTGATTCCCACTCCCCTCGGTTTTGCTGGATGCCTACCTTCCTCGGGTGTTCGTGTTGTCAGTGACTCACTCCAATCGCTCCAACTTCCTTTAGAAAGATGTAGCTTAGAGGAAATCTGAAATTCATATTCTGTAAATGGTGTCAGATCTTGTAGGCCGTATCTTCCTTTGGCATTTGTAGCATTAACCTTGAATCAGATGAGATTTGTTCCACTGAGATATGATGCTTGTGTATTCTTATAGAGTGGATTGTGGGTTGTTGACAGTTCAGTACAGGCAGAGGGTATGCAATGGCCAAAACAAGGAGATAAGGCCCCTCTCCCCACAAAACAGTAAGCATTGAGGCTGGAGAGATGGCTCAGTGGTTAAGAGCATTGGCTACTCTTGCAGAGGACCTGGGTTCCATTCCCAGTACCCATGGCGGCTCACAGCTGTCTATAACTCCAGTCTCACAGGCTCCTCCCTCCTCTGGCTTCCATGGGTAACAATCACGCTCAGTACACAGCACAGGCTGGCCTGGAACTCTGTCCTTCAGAGTACTGGGATCATAGTTATGTGCTATCATGCTAGTCCAAAAATCTATCAGTTTTTAAAGTCAGGTGGAAAAATTTCTACACCATATAGAAAAAGCATGTGATGAATTCGACATAAAACTGATTTCAGGAAAAAAGTATTAGTTATGTTCTCATGAGTTCCAACGATATGTGGAGCCAATCCCTTCCCATTATTGTAAGCCACCCGTACTTCACAAAAATTCTTGAAGGGATCATAATTCTACATTTTATATTATAAAAATGGTAGTGCCGGGTTGGGAAAGCAGCTCCGTGAGTAAAGTTCTTGCTGAACAAATGTGAGGGCCTGAGTCCAATCTCCAGGAAATGTGTAAATCCAGGCACAGCCGTTTGTAATCCCAGTGAGGTGCTGCAGGAGACAGGAGAAAGCCACAAGCTCATGCGTCCCTCACCTGGTGTCTGTATCTGTGACCAACAAACACACCACCCTGTTTCAAATGAGGTGTAATTGTAAGGTCCAGACTGACACTCAAGGTTGTTCTCTGACCTCCACATGCATGCCATGACACACACGTGCCCCCCAACGCCCCCACACAGTGTAGTGCCTCACATATCAAACTGCAGTCCTTTCCTTTCCATACCAGCCTTTGCGTACATACTCCTTAATGTTAAAAAAGAAAAGTGAGAAAGGGGATAGAAGAATAAGGAGAAACAATTGTTTCTTTAAAAAAGGCTTATCAATAAAAACCTTTGGATTAAGGCATTCAGAATCAGGGCCTGTGAAATGGCTCAGCAGGTAAAGATGCTGGCTGTGTTAAGTCTTATGACCTGAGTTCTACACCCAGAGCTCACCGTGGGAGGAGAGGACTGACTCCCAAAAGTTGTCTTCTGACCTCCACATACACACTGTGGCACACATGTACCTGGACACACACACACACGCACACGCACACGCACACGCACACGCACATGCACGCACGCACGCACACATTCACGCACGCGCACACACACACCAAAAACAGCAGTAAAATAAAACTTAAGGGTTGGAAAGTAGCACGGTGATAGAGAACCTGCCTGACACAGGCAAGGCCTTGGGTTCAATTCTCAGCACCCTAAGACCAACCAACTAACGAAGCTTGCTGCTTAAAGAAAAGACATTAAGGATGTCATGAGATGGCTTTGTGGGTGAAGGGCTTTCTGACAAGTCTGACATCTTGATTTTGATCCTCAAGATTTCCATGGTGGAACCAACTCCCATCAGTTGTCCTCTGACCTCTACTTGCCTCCTCTCCCCCCCCCCCCATCACACAAATGAGTAAATAAACAAAAGTTATCAATGAAAATAAAATTCAGGCACACATCAACACACACATGCAGGAAACCCCAAACTTCCTCTTAGGGGCTGGAGAGATGGTACATGTGAACATGTATGAGCCTCTGTGTGGAGTCCCACAGGTTGATGTTGGGGACCCTTGACCCTTCTTTCACTTTGTCTCACTGAAGCAGGGTCTCTCAATTAAACCTAGAACTTCATCAAGTTGACTAGTTTTCCTTGCTGGCTTGTTCTGGTGATCTATGTCTCTGCCTTTAGGGTGGGTCACCTTTCCCACTAGCATCTACAAGGATTTCTGGGAGGTCTAGTCACGACGTTTGAGCAGCAAGCACTTTAACTCAGAACAATCTGCAACTCCAGCCTCAGGGAATCTGATGCACTCTTTTGGTCTCCAGGGGTTGGGAGTACACATATACATTCAGGGAAATACTTGTACACATAAAAAAAATGCAAAAAGTAGACAGAGGTATATACAGCATTCTGACAGATTTCCAGTATGTGTTTCCAGGCTAAAAGTTCTTAAGCTCCCTACTTTGTTGACATGATGAGATGAGTCTGTACAACAGTGTCAAGGACTCTTACTGATTTTTCCCCATCCCTCTAAAGACTATTACCATATTCCAGGACCCGCTGTTAAAAGGCCGGTATCTGAGTCGGTTGAGGACCACTTGCCCCTCATCTTTCCATCGCAGGGCACATCTGTTCCCAGAAGCATTTAGAAAATCGATTCTGATGTCCCACGGAGGAAGAGGCCTCACTAGTAACCAAGACAAACCAGAATGTGAAAGTCAGGCTTTATGATCAGCAATTGCTTTCAGTACTGACCTGGACTATTTCAAATGTTGGTTTCACTTCTCAGCCATTGAAATAATTGCCTTTAACTCAACCTTATCTGACCAAATAGTGAATGTGTTGACTCCATTTGCTTGATTTAAAGAAAACCAATATGCCAATGACTGCAAAGGCAGAGGTGACTAGTAGTGACCACTTCAGGAGAAAAAAATGTTAGGAAAATTCAAAGAAAAGCAAAAATAAAAGACAAACAGAAAAGCACAGGGAAAGAAGGTGGTGTAGACACAAATGGTTTTTAAGGAGACAGAAGTGGAGGAGGAGAAAGGTGGAGAGCAAATAGGAATGCAAATAACAAAGAGATACTATAGGAAGGGAGAGAGACATAGTGTGACTAGAAACTATAGGCAGGACAGACACCCAGGCCCACCTGGATGGTCCCAGGTCCATCTGGATGGTTGCCAGTTGGGATGCTTGAGATTGGCTTCTAATTTATCTAGGCCAATATTATCGTTCAGAAATACGCTGGGACTGGTTCATTCCAGTTCCCAGGGATGAGGGTTAGAGGTTAGCATTCTCAGAGCAGACACATTTACATCATGACACATTGTTTGCCCAGTGTGCACAGTGGGGGATAACCAGTGGAATAAAAGGACATCTATATAACCTCATGGGACATTCTTCAGTCAGTGGTGTCACTGGCAGCAGTTTCTGTCATGTGAAGGAGTCAGAAACTCTTATTTCTCTAAGAGAACAAAGTTTAAGGTGCCATTCTGTAGCCACTTCTGTAGCCACATGCCAGCCTTTCTTTTATATGTATCAAAATTGCTCTGACTTTGTCTATACCTATTCATTACTTTCCATCAGCTCTTCGCTCCTTTAAAACAAGTACACATAGGAGATTTGAGTGAGTTTTAAGATAATTTTCATGTGTCAGTAAACGACACCTGAAAAACTGCAATCAAACTTACCTATGTCCAAGAACGTGAACATAAATGGAAGTGAAGAAGAGTTTCCAAGGCCATTGGTGGCAGTGACACTGACTGTGAACTTGGATTCAGCTAAATCAGAGGTTAGACTGATTCCAAGATTCAAGTGATTACAATTCTGACATCTGCACTGGTCCTGACAGGTCACATTGTTTGGTCCAGTCAACCTGTAACCCAAACACAACTGTGTTAGCAATAAACTTTACATGCTGTCTTCTGCAATCACTACAAAAGAATAAAATGTTCTAACATCGAAAATCCCAGACATATTTTAAGGCTGGTCCTATTACTAGGGATATGCTGTGGGGATATTTGAATCCTGTTCTCATATAAATGACCATGTCTCCTCTTTACCCCCTTTTGTGGTACAACCAAAATCTTTTTAAATGGGTGTTCATATAGAGGGGTATTCACCTACACTGTTCATTTTCCCAAACCCTGGCTGTAATTGGCTCCTGAGGGCACTTCCAACCTTTATCCAAAGGCTATTTGAGCATCTGACTTCCATTGAATGGAAGTATGGTGTGAGCTCACAGTATGATGATAGGAAGACTCCAATCCTGGTCCCACTGGCTTTTCTGTCTTCTGCTCACCTGTGGACTTGTGATGGGTTATGGGATGTATTTAAGGAAGGAAGGCTCCCTGTATCCCCTCTTCTTGTGGGCTCTCACACCAGTCAATTGCAATTTAAAATGTAATTCCTCCAAGGAGGAGTTTATTTATATATCAAGATGCCCAAGAGTGTGGGATTGAGAAGGAGATGGGGTTTTATACAGCCAGTCTAACCCAATTGCAGGGAGACCATCTTAACTGAGGTCCTGGATGACCCCCTCCCCCAAAAAAACTCTTAAATCAGAATGTAGGACCAAGATATCAGTTAAAATGCCTGAGACAGCTCTCACAGACCCTGGGAACAAACAGTATTTAAACTCTAGGTGAGGAATCTATTGTTGCCTCTCCTTGGCATATAATAAAAAAATATTGAGTAGTGCTGAAAGTCATGTAAGATAGAATATATACAAACAGCCATAAATTCCCTCACTCACTGTAAAGTGTAATGGGTTTTCAGATGTCTATCTTGTCCAGGGTCCCAGGTGCAGGTCACAGTCCCATGTTCTCCTTTCTGGATGCACGATAGGTTTCGAGGTGGCTCTGGAGCAACTTTAAAAAGAAAGAGCAAGGCTTGGTGTTGAAATATTCTGTAGGTGATATCTAGATGTTATTTGCAGTATATTGATAATATCTTTCACGTGGCCCACAAATCTAGATGAAGCCATATTCTAAAGTGTTCATATTTGCTCCCAAGGCATGATTTTCTCTAATAATTAAAGCAGCTATGATGAATATTGATCACTTCCTGTAGCCCAAAACCTGTGCCAAGTGTTTTATGGCAGGTCTCAGCCAGAGCACTCCATAAAGTAGGTAAAATTATTTTTCATGTTTTCAAAGAAGAAACTAAGACTTAGGCAAAACATCTGGTCAGACTACAAAATTATGAAGGGAAGAATCAGGGCTCCAGTTCAGGTGTGGCTAGCAAGCCATAGTTCTACCCTTTCTCTGGAAAGACAACCATGTTTTGTTTTGTTTTGTTTTGTTTTTGTATTTCAATATTAACTCATCTTTATTAATTAAATTTATGGGTTTAGAGTCTTGATAGCTTTATAGTTTCATGCCATTCTCTGCCAAATAAAAGTAGAGTCTGTTAGTTCCTGCAGGACTTCATTGTTATTGTTCTTCCTTATTGCCTCAGTGTACTTGGAATACTGATTTGATATTAAAGGTCTCTGTTTGTCTTCACAAGAGCAAAATTCTTCCCAAGAACAGGCTTCAGGAGCCTTTTAAATGTGAGAATATGCTATTCAGAAGTCAGTTGTATTAACACTGTGGAGATGCAGTCTTGCAGTGTGCCCACCAGCCTGGGACACAAAAGTTGGAAAAGACACTCTCTCATCTCTTTAGGAGCTTATGACTTTGAACCAGTTTCCAAAATCAAGAGGGTATGGCAATCTAGCTACAGAGAGCCAAGGACAGAGAGAAAGCAAGTTCTCCCAATGGTCCGAGAAAGAGGAAAGGAAGAAAGAGAAGTGAGAGAGTCAAGGGCAAGAGGTGGGGAGAGACTGTGAGTTGCTAAATAAGTTGCTAATTCTGGTCATCTCTGGCCTTTTTCACACAGAGTCTCATAGTGCTCTCACAATAAAATACTTAATGTTATGGGAGAACAAAGAAGTCTGTCTGGTGTTTGGGCTTCTATTTACTTCATGTCAAATACACACACACACAGACACACACACACACAGACACACACACACACACAGACACACACACACACACACACACACACACACACACACACACACACACACACACCGGAAGAGTTCAGAAATGAATGCTCACCACCAACTGAGATCTCTGTCCCACACACTGGGTACCGACCAGAGCTACAGTCCAGCTTGCAGACGAGCAGGGTCATACCAAGGGAAAGGTTGGTGACTTGCAAAGTGAAGGAATTACCGAGGTGGAAATGGACTATTTTGTCGTCCTTTAAGAGGACTAATTTGTTAGGACCAGGATTATTCAAACAGCCTTGTTTGGGATTCAAAGAGCAGGAAATATTGACAGCTGACCCAAGTGGAATCACAGGGGAAGGCTTGACAGTCACGGTGCCTTTCTTGCATGCATCTGAAGGAAGAGACAAATGCAATAACCTATATGGCTCAGGCAGCATTGGCAATGCTGGGGACCAGAAGACAGCCATACTACAATGGTTTGAATTACACATATGTTCTTCTCAAAACATCCACACTGTAATCATAACCACAAGAGGAAAGCAGCAAGAAAGTGGCATTGAAAGAACATTCTGGAATGCAATTCCAAAATCTCTCATGGGACTTTTGCATGTGCAGATTTCACTCGTGCTAACTACTTAAAGAGAGCTTCCCAGGATAAATTGCATGTTTACCAATGCTTTTGTAATTTAAAATGCTTATTTTAATAATTACATTAAGAAAAACTAAGACAATTTTACAAGGCCTTAGGAGCATATCTAGAAATAATTTCTTCTTATCAGTTGTATCAAATGAATATAACTTGTAACATCATTTTAAATAATTTTTCATTAACAATCAGTTGCATGAAATGAGTTAATATGTAATATCGTATTATAATAAAGAAATATTCAAAGGTTCAAGTGTGTTTTTCATTGGCATCAGGGGTAAAAATCAGAAGCCAGGTGTGGTACTTGGGAGTCTGAGATGGGGCATCATGAATTAGAGGCCAGACCAGGCTACATAGTCAGAGAATGTACCAAAGAAACAAACAAAAACCAAAAGGAAGTAGGTCCAATAATCTGTATTTTGATGTTTCTTCAAGCTGTAGCACCCTGGGCGGTATGAAGTAAATGCCATGCATGTTCCTCTTTTTGGATGACTCTTATGGATTAGTTACTATAGCCAATGACACCTTGAGCTCCTATTTAACTCACTTCCAAAAGCCTTCCACTAACACACTTCAGTAAAAAGAACTACAAAATACAGATTCATTCTCAATTTCTGATGTGATGTAAAGTCCCTACCAGAAGTCGTCTTTGAGGATAATTCTATGATAGGATCAATGTACATCAGGGGGAACTGGCAAAGAAGTTATTATTTACCTCAAGTAATTGAAACACTGAACAATCCTTTAAAATAAAACACTAATTTTTATGTTCAAAGATAAATGGAGTCTTGCTCCCTCTCTTATTTTTCTTTTATGTTTGGTCTTGGTTTCTTTGAGTCTTCATTATAATGGGTCAGAAAGCCAAAATCAAACTCTTACTTATGAAGCCAGAAAAAGGTAGCCCCCACCACATATGTATATGATATAAATGATAGCTGAATTTGACCATAAATATCCCTGATAAAATACACTTTAATTTTTATTTTATTTAACATTTACTTGTGTGTGTGTATGCACATGTACCACAGCACACATATGGAGGCTAAAGTGTGGGCTCACAGGATCAAACTCAAGTATTAGGTCTTGATACAGTAAGTGCCTTTACCTGCTGAACCATCTTTCTGGTCCTAAAATGCACTTTGATGTAAAGTATGCTTCTATTACATTTCATATTTCTTATCCAGTGTCTTAAGAGTAAATGCATGATTATATCCTTATACTAATTTTTAAAATAAATAAGGCAATACTACAGAGCCAGACTTATCCATTAAATGAGTGACCACAAAATCCATTTAGAATGCTTACCACGATTCATGGTTCATTTATATCTGAGAATTTAAACTTCTACAGACTAGGTTACAGAAATGTCTTACCTATATTTGCTTTAATCAACAGCCACATGAATAAAAAAATCAGTCCCAACAAACATTCTCTAACAGAGTGTGCCATGAGCAGTTAACTCCACAATGCAACTTGAGTTGTCTACTTGAAAAAGAAGACAAATTGATTCATGTTAAGAACATTCAGAAAATACCAGAACCACCACTTTCCAGAACAATTCAAGCACTACTGTTTCCCCATGTTGTTAAGACTGTAAAACTAGGAAACTGAAGGATTATAGCCGCTTTCTGTCCCCCAACCGCATCTCAGAGAAACACCTTGGTTCTGACATAGTTTCTTTCAATGATGTTCAAGTGTAAAATACAATGGGCAGAGACTAAGAAGGGGCTTGGTATCTCATTGTGTTCAGACTACTGCAACAGCTCCAGAGTGATGCTTAGGAGCAACAGAAAGCCCAAGATAAAAAGGCAGCAGCTTCAATGTCTGATAAGGACCTGCTTCTCAGTTCATAGATGGCCTTTCTGGACTTGCTCCCCATGGTATAAGGAGCAAGGCAGCTGGGTCACTAATCCCATCCATATGTGCTGAGCTCTGGGATATGATCACTTCCCCAAAGCTCCGTCTCCTCAAACCACTTGGGATTAACACTTAAACATGTGGGTACAGAGGGGAAATGAACAAAGCAAACTTTGAAGTCATTTAAAACTGGGTTTAGCCGAGTAGTGGTGGCACACACCTTTAATCCCAGCACTGGGAAGGTGGAGGCAGGGGGATCTCTGTGAGTTTGAGACCAGCCTGGTCTACAGAGAGAGTTCTAGGAAAGTCTCCAAAATTACAGAGAGACCTTGTCTCAAAAAACCAAAACCAATCGACCAAACAAACAAAACAACCCCCTCCCGCCAAGAAACAACCCCCCAAAACTGGGTTTAAATACTTTGTGACCATATGAAATTATTAAAACTGTCTATACCACACATAAAACTTGTTTTTCCTTTTAAAGAGGCTACATCATCACAATCAAACAGAACTTTTGACTGGAGATTTTCTAATCTCATTGTAGCTCTGAAAACAGTAGATTAAAAAATGGCTCACATCAGGGTGGTAGCATGAACACTATATCTTATTCTGGACATTTTTGCTTCACTGTGATTGGCATCTTTCATGGGTTTTCATTATTGTAGTAAAAACTTTAAAACACACTATGATAGAACTTTAGCCAGCAATACTAAAAGCACTGGAAAGATATCAGCCTCAAGAAGGTCATTTTTGTACAGAATATGGTAGCACAAGTGTACAACCCCCAGAACTCTGGAACTTGAGGCAGGAGTCTCACAAGTTTGAAGTCAGCCTTGGCAAATCCCTGTCTCAAAATAACAACAACAAAAGGACATCATTTTGATTTTTGTCTTCATTAGTTTTATGTCAACTTCGCATAAGCTAGAGTCATTTGAGGAAAGGGACTCTCCATTTAGAAAATGCTTCCCCCCATAAGATCTGTCTGTAGGAGACTCTATGGGGGCATTTTGTTAATTAATGATTGATGTAGGTGGTCCCAGCTCACTAGGAGCAGAACAACTTATGGGTGGGTGGTTCTTCGTGCTATAAGAAAACAGGCTGAGCAGCCAAGTGGAGAAAGCCAGCACAAAGTATCTTTCAGGGTTCCTGCTTCAGTTTCTGCCATAACTTCTTTCAATAATGGACTGTGATATACAAGTGTAAGATGAAATAAACCCTTACTTCCCCAGATTGCCTTTAGCCATGTTTTTTTTATCACAGCAATAGAAATCCTAACTAAGTTAGAAATTGGTAACAGAAGTAGGATATTTCTCTGACAGACCTGACCAGGTTGTTCTGGGGAGGATTGTGGACGGACTTGGAACTTTGAACTGGAAAAGTCATTGAGCATCTAGAGTTTAGTCAACTATTGTGGGAACTAGGAAGACAAACCTGTCAGCAGTACAGATGGTGAAGAGCTAGCTTCTCAAGTTTCAGAGGGAAGCAAAGGCTCTATCAGTGTTGTTTGAGTGATGTTTTGAATTAATAACCAGTAAGGTGAAATCTTTGCTTTGCTGGGACAATAGGTATAGTCAGTTGTGATTAAGAAGAGGCCAACATCATTTAGGTGAGATCTTCTGGGAGTATTTCCTCAAGGTCAGCACACAGAAGCTGTAGTCCAGAGGGTCCAAGGCTACATCTCATGCTGGCAGCCGAACTTGGTAATATGTAAGATTCACCTAGGTGGTACTGGTTTTGAAGACATGAAGGGGTCACAGTGAGCAGCTGAGACTTGTCATTGTGTGGCAGGGCAGGAATCCCTGAGGAGAGATAGGAGAGTTCATTAGTGAAGGTACAGCCTTCATTGCAAACAAAGTCCTAGGACTGAAGGTGTCATGGAGAGAAGTTGAGGCTTCACACAATGTGGCAGGACCAGGGTCCTTGAAGAGAGCCCAGGAGAGGCTGTTGGTGAAGGTGCAGCCCAGTTTCAGTGGAGACCCCAACATTTTGGAGATGTTAGTAACATGGGGTGATGACCAAGGACAGCAGGGGTTGTGTATAAAGTTAGTTTGAGCCTATAAGAACCAGTATGTGCTGTGGCATGTCCTTTAGAGCCTGGAAGACTGTGAGTCTCCAAGTCTGACACTCCGCTTTACAGTCGGATTTTGGTTTTGCTTTGATCTGATTGTGACTGCCCTGATTTTTCCCTCAGAGTAAAAATGTATTGAACTTATTTTTGATTTTAAAGGAGCCCACAGTTAAGAGACTTTGGAATTTTACAGAGAGTTTGGATATTACAAAGATACTTAACTTCTAAATGTTTTAGTTTTTAAAGACTGTGAGATTTTAAAAGTTTTATGTTATAATTTGAATATTGAGATAATCAAGATGAGCAAGAAAGGGAAGGTCATGGTTTAACAGTGAAGTGTTTATTTATGAAGTTGACTGGGTTCAATTGTCCTGGTTAGTTTTATGTTGAGTTGATGCAGGCTAGAGTCATTTGGAAAGAGAGATTTTCAACTGAGAGAATGCACATATAACACAGCTCATGTTGGTGAGGATGTGGGGGAAGGGGCATACTTATCCATTGCGGGTGGGAATGAAAACTTGAACAGCCACAATTCCTCAAGAAGCTAGGGATAGATCTAGATCCATCTGCAGTACTCTTGAGCCCATAAAGGACTCTACATTCTACTACAGAGACACTTGATTATCCTTGTGCTCTATTCATAGTAGCCAGATAATGGAAATGGTCTGGATTTTCATCAACTGATGAAAAATGAAGAAAATATAATACATATACACAATGGAATTATTATTCAGCTGTTAAAAAGAAGAGCATAAATTTCACAGGTAAATGGATGGAGTTAGAGAAGTTCCTTCAATGTGAGGTAACCCAAAAGACAAATACAGTGTATATTCTCTTATAAGTAGATGCTGGCTTTTAAGCCTTCATTAGGCACCCTACAATTCATATAACCACAGAAATTAGTTAACTAATAAGGGAATTGTGCAGAGGGTAGGGTTTCCCAAGGAAGAGGAAATAAAATATGTAGTTATGGAGAGACAGTGGAATAGGAGGATTGAATGGGGAGAAGAAAGGAAAAGGGGGTAAGGGAGCAAATAGTGAGAGGGAAAACACCAAGGATCCTTTGATGGGGTATAAGGAAACCTACTAAAGTGTAAGCCTCTTAAACTATATACGTACATAAAAGAAATCTAAATGGAGTCACCAAATGACAGAGAAGACAATGTTCTCTTTTGGTGCCAAGTGAAACTCAAGTGACAGGAATGGGTTACATCTAATTGAGTTGTTAGCCAAAGGGGTTCTCCCATGGACAGCCTCAAACAACTCAGGTCAAGGCTATTGGTAGCTCTCCACAAACTGATTGTAAAGCTCTATTGCTGAAGACAACATTTATATATCTCACTAAACATTAAGATGTTGAGCTGGTATCTGACTATAAACTTTACCCTTACTGGCTTGTGTCTAGGGTACTGGAAGGTATTCTGCATGGTACCAGAGGAGAAAGGTAAACAGCAACCCAGTTACAAACCCTGAAATCTACAGTGGTGACCTGACTACAAGACATTCTGGTGCAAACGTTATGAGAGTAAACAACCATTTTCTGATTGGATTTAAGGCCCACTCCATGAGATGGAAACACATGCTCAACATGGCTTGGGTGGCCTAGAACTTGAGATTAGGGCTCCTGCCGAGGGGAAAACAACATGCTGTCGTTCTGTGAAAGGAACACAACAATAACATGACTTCCAATGACATTTTTGCTATAGATCAGTACCTTGCTTAGCCATTATCAGAGAAGGTTTCTTTTTCAATAGATGGAAACTAATACAGAGAACTACAACTGGGAAATGTGCCAACCGTGAGAGACTTAGGAACACCCACTCCTAAATGAAATGTCTTTATCCATCTCATCCCCTGTGACTCTTGAAGCAACAAGGCAGAGGTGAAAAGATCGTAAGAGCCAGATATGATGGAGGGCAGTGAGGAAATAGTGCCTTCCAGATAAGCAGGAAGGATGCACGTATGAACTCACAGAGACCATGGTACCGCACATAGGGCCAGCACACGTTCAAGCTGGTCACCATTTTCCATCTCTACTCAAGAAACTATCCCCAACCCATTTGCAAAAGTAAAAATAATTTTCTCCAGTGGAATCCAACTGGGTATCTACCTTTATGGTAGATTGCATTCCCAGCAGTAAATGGATAACACAAAATGGACTCAATGGTGCTTTTATAGATTTTTTTTTTTTATTTCACATTGCTGTGTTTAGCCATTTAAAAAAAATATTCTTGGTCTTTTGCTTGTATGTTTTGGGTTCTGATTATGTGTTTAATTTTTTGTATCTGTGTGTTTCTTATGCTTTTTTAATTTTTAAAATTCTGTTTTTTATTTGCTTGTTTGTTTTCTGAAAAGTCAAAAAGAAGGTGCTAAATTGGATGGGTGGGAGGCGGGGAGGGCCTTGGAGGAGATGGGAAGGGGAAATTGTGATTAGAATATATTGTATAAATTTTCAGTTAAAAAAGAAAAAAATTGTCTGTGGTGCATCTTCTTGATTAATGATTAATATAGGTGGGCCCAGGTC